ATTTAAATTGTGCTAATTTTCCCAAACTCACATTTGGTTTCTCATACAGCATCTCTGTATAGTATGTGTATTCTACTCTCTCGTCCTAACGGCTTGTTGGAGCTCCTCGCCCCCCCCCCCCACCCCCTCCCTATGAGCCCACTGTGCTCTGATTGGTCGGCTCGCCCACTCTATTCTGATGAATCCACCACCGTCACAGCTGAACATCAGTGATTATGTTTTGCAATGGCGTTAACAACCAGAAAATGACAACCAGAAATGACAAACAGATGAGAATGCTGCGTGGGGTCTGGGTGCCGTGTTGGCGGGACGTTGCGGGGCTTGCTGCTCCGCCCTTTGGGGCTCGAGGAGCGGACAGTGTGAGCTGTATTACTGGTGTCGTTTTCTGGTTGCTGCGTGGGGTCTGCGAGACAGTTAGAGACACCGCGGAACTCAGCCTGAGCAAACACACACACTCACAGCCAGGCTGTGCGGATCTCCGCACACACTCACAGCCAGGCTGTGCGGATCTCCACACACACTCACAGCCAGGCTGTGCGGAGATCCGCGGAGCCACGGGTGAGAAAAGATAAGGCTGAGTGAGTGTGTATGCTGGCGAAGCTACGCGGAGTACCACGGCTGAGAAAAGATAAGCCTGAGTGGATTGGTCCATTTGGACCTGGGTATCGTTACGTCACTATACTCAGGAAGAAAAAAATGGAAAAAGAAAAATGTCCAACGAGGCGTTCTGGGGCAGCATAGACAGGTCTTTTCTGTGTTAGAGTTATACTCGCTACAGGGTGTACTTTAAGGGTTTGTGACTTTGCAGACCGTTTACAAGGGGACGGGTAATAACCGGAAAAGCATGTGATGGGACCTTTAAGTATGTGTGCAGTTTGTACCTGGAAGAGATTGCGGGCATACTGGTCGCTCAGGTCGATGTTGATCATCTGTAGCAGTGTCTGGACTTCCTCATAGCTCATCTTATCATCGTGGTTGTGATCGGCCCGACTCAGGTAAGCATGAATCCAGGTGACAAACCAACAAGGTCAAGGAAGCAGCAGCAGCACAACATGTAGTGTTTGTCCATCAGACACAGACTCATTCTAACTATAGATACTAAAAACATTTCCTTCAACCAAAAAAGTGAGGAGGACAAAAGGAATGGTTTGGTTTGGGAAGTGAGCGTCCAACCTGAATTATTTAATAATGATTCCTAAGAATAAGACTTGATTATATGATTATTCTGGTCACTTTTGACTGCATACTGTATACAGTGCACCATTCTATAATTTGGAAGTACAGTAAGGATATTGGTTGAGCTTCTCCTTCTGGGTCATGTTCTCCACCCTCTCCTGTAAGGTCCTCATGCCGCGGGCCCAGTGCTGGGCCTCCTCCACGCTCTGGCAGAGAAGATCCAGACTTTTGCGGGGACCCTTGAAGACCACCGTCAAACACCGCTGCTCCTGTCCTGAGTCCAGCATCTGCCGCAGTGTCTCTGACTGGACACCCTCTCGAACACACTCCACCTCCATCACAGAGACTGAGGGTGTGTGAGAGGAGATGAACAGATGGAGGAAGAAGAAAAAATAAGTAAATACAAACAGGTTATCCACCCTAATACCAAGTTATATTCAAGTGTTTGGTTGTTTCAGTGGTGTATTGCTCGATGTTTCTTAAGTATGCTCGGTCCCCTTCTATTCACAATATACATCCTTCCGATTGGAGATATCATCCGCAGCCATGGTCTCTGTTTCCACTCCTACGCCGACGACACAACACCCTCTGCCCATCTCCCCCCTCAGTCACTAATTAACTGCCTCCATGAAATTAAAATCTGGATGACCACCAACCTACTCAAACTTAACAGTAATAAAACTGAGCTCATGGTTGTGGCTCCCAAGGGACTGCTTGGGAAGGTTGGAGATCTGCTCAACAAAATCGATGGTTCCCTTATCTCACCATCCCCTCAGGTCTGCAACCTTTGCGTTGTTTTGGATTCAACCCTTTAATTTCAGAACCACATCAGTCAGTATCAAAATCAGCCTTCTTCCACCTCAGAAACATATCAAGACTCTCGCCATCACTCTCCGACTCTGTTGCAGAGAAGCTCATTCATTGTTTCATTACCTCCCGCCTGGACTACTGCAACGGACTCCTGTCCGGGGTTCCCAGCAGAACCCTGGACAGGCTCCAGTACATCCAGAACTCAGTTGCCAGGGTTCTCACACGCACCAAGCGCTGGCAGCACATCACCCCCACTCTCTTCAACCTCTACTGGCTCCCGGTCAAGTCCCGGATCACCTACAAACTCCTCCTCGTCACCTACAAGTCCCTCCAAGCCCTCTCCCCTCAGTACACTACCTCGCAAATCTCGTCCAGCCATACATCCTGTCCGGCACCCTTCAATCCTCAGATTCCGGCCTGCTCTCTCCATTCCCCATTCATGCCTCCGCACCTTGAGGGACCGTGCCTTCAGTGTCGCTTCCCCCACCCTCTGGAACACCCTCCCTGCTGAAATCCTTAACGCTCCTTCTCTGAACATCTTCAAATCTACCCTGAAAACTCATCTGTTGAACATCGCCTTCCAACAATAACTCACTTCCCCCCCCCCC